GCTTCTCTGTGGCTGGCTCAAGCTGCATGAGAACATGCAGACCATGATAAACACTAATGAGACCACGAGAGGCTCATCTCAGGCTAAGTGGCAGAAGGGTTGATGGGGTCTTTGCATAGGACTTGCCAAAGCAACCCAAGCTGCTGTGCAAACTCCAGCTCAGCCATGGCAATGGGATTCCCAGAGACGGACAGAATAAATACGAGAGCTGCAGCATRGGCCAGCAGGGCTGTTTTGGAGAGCAGCATGATCAGAGACCAGAGAAGGGCAGAAAGGGCGAGCTACTTCTTCTCAGGAAGCTGGAGAAGGAGAGGAGCTGAGTCCGGACCTGTCCCTTGACACTGGTTCCTACTGTGTTCAGTTAAGGGAGATTCTTCAAATCTCCGCAGTTTTGGCCAACCACTTCAGGTAAAGGGGATAATAGTGTAAACAGACTGAAGGCTGGTACAGAGCAGGGGACACAGCATGTGTTCAGACATCAGCACAAGGCACATCCAGTGACTGAGGACAAGGAAGCGGAAAGATGGAGAAGAGGATTTCAAGGACCAGCTAAACTGAGGCTCCTGATTCATCTCTACAGTCCTTTCTTTGTTTTTATGGGAGTGAGAGTGAAGGATAGTTTCTTATTCAAGGGGATGCTGCCATGCTAATGTCCATCTGCTGGCATATGGAGCTCCTCTCAACGCACTCTTGCTCTCCGCTCAGGATTGCTCCAGGACAAAGCTAGCCCTGATGTGATTCCTTTGCTTCAGTGGAGTTACATAAATTTAAAACTTAAATGGCCCAAAGGCAGACTGAGCCTTAGCTACCGAACACATGTTCAGAACAACATGATTTGCTGAGACCAGTGCCTTTATACTACTAATCAAAATGTTTCCTCTGCTTAGGCTCTGATTATGATATATCCCTGCAGGATAGATGAGGAATAGCCCATCAGAGCTTATCTCCTTTCTTTAGCAGCTGGAAATGGGCTACCACTTCTGGCTGCTGCTGTTGTTACTTTGTTCACTTCCATTTATCAGTCGCCAGCCCCTGTGCTTGCAGTTCGCATTTAATTGCTGTTTTAAACTGCAGCTTCATTCAGCAGCAGATTATATCATTGCCACAAATAATCTGGCGCAATCTGGTTCCATCTAATTGCTCAACAGCCTGCAAAGAGGTGCCAGGAGGAGAAGTGAATTGCTCACCAGTGTCGGCTTTTGAAGCTGAAATTTCAGAAGGGCAAACTCATCACAACTATGGGAAACTGCTGCCCAAAGAGTCATCAGAACCCAGAACATCTCACGTCAACTACTGTGAAGAAAACTTTTCCTCAATTTTCTTCTCAATTCCCAGTAGACTTTTTACCGGGGTCAAAAGCTCTTCTTGTGGCCTTGATTTGCAGTGCAATTTGACCAAAGAATATTGGGCTATGTCATGTGTCAACTGCATAGCTGGAATACAAACCACGGCCATCAAGAGGACCAGGAATCAGAGAAATTCAAAGCTTGGACGCAGGATTTATATTTGAGGAGAGTTTTTCATATGAGACATTTTAAGAGAAAGCTCTGATCATCATCATGGCAAAATCCCAGAAAAAAACACTTTGCTCATAAGCTTGACTTACCCCTTCCAAGGAGAAAATAGCTGGTTGGGCAGAAAATTTAACTACTGAGTCCTCAGAGGCATAGCTAATGTTTCCARTTCTCCCAGGGAAATCTTAGGGCTCAGAAACCTAATTAATGATACCTACTGGGGACATGATTAATTACCAAATAAGAAAGTTTAAAGAAGGAAATTTAGATGAATATTTCATCTTTATTTTAGCATAAAACTTTAGATAAGGACAACATTTTACACTTCTTCTAACTTTCTACTGGGAAAAAGAAAAAGACTCACCAAATGTGTAGTCCACTGGGAGATCCCAGCAGAAACACAGCCCCACATAGCACAGACAGGATGGAAAAGGATGTGGAAGTGCCTGAGCTGCCTAATACACCAAAAGGGCAAACCTGAGCCATGATCCGTGCCTCAGCCTCCACCATCTCTGTCACTGCTCCATGAATGGAGCAGGAAGCACTAGGGATTTGCGAGAGGGCRGTGGGATGGCAATGGGTGCTTGGGAACATTCTTTGCATTCACATCTCTATTTCTCCTTTTAAGAGGTCAAAACCATGTAACACAGAGGCAGGTAGCAAAAATATCTGAGGGTTTACTGTGTGGTGCGATTTATTATGGGCCATTTCCAGTGATGCTGAAGATTTTTATCCATTACTGGCATATTCCTCCAGCAGAAACCTCTATGCATGTTATATATATATATGCATACATGTTAAACCAATAATAAACAGATCAAGTTTAGGTGTCATTTGGAAAAACTCAAACGGGATAGATATTTAACCGAGATAGATATTATTTAATGCTTAATTTGTGAGRAAACTTGACCAAAGCACCAATATTTACTCCCCTGCTCCTTGGAAAAWTCTATTGTTTTCTTAACAAGTACTGTTCAGTGTGACAGTGAGGTTACCTGTATAATATTTGGAAAAGTTTTTTAAAATACTTAAGTGAGAATTCCTGTGAAACCTCAAAATTACAACTTTCCTAAAGTTGCTTCAGAATCCTGGTTCAGGGCAAGCCAAAGGAAAAGAATTCTCTCTGCAATACAGAGATTTTACTTTATTACCATGCAATCATACATTGATTCCCACCTTGCTTAGCTTGCAAAAGCTAACCACACAGCAATTGAGAGTGGCTTGACTGCATAGGATGAGCCACACTCCTCTGCCTAGACTTGCAGTCAAACTGTATCTTGTATATTTGGACATTAAATGTGCCTAGTCCTAACTGTTCCCAGGCCGAGGTCTTTACAGAATAAGAGACTACCATTTTAATGAGAAAGTGAATATTGTTGAGAAGGCAGTGACAGCAAAAAAGGATAAGATACACAGAATAACCTTTTAAACTTTTAAGAGCAAATTCAGACAAGAAAGTCTTTGAATGGGAAACCATCCAGAATTCAACTCTTTTCAATGTGGTTAATGCATGCAATGTAAATGTAATGTAGCTGACATAGAAATACCTTTGTAGCTGAAGATTTGCTCAGCATTTGGGTCTATCACCTCGTTGTTGATGGTGACTCCTGGGTACCTGGCTCGCACTTTCGAGAGCATCATCAAGTCAATCTCACCTGGAGAATAAAGGTGACATTGGGCAAAAGAGCAAGAGCAGACASGTCCCCAGCAGCAGATTCCAGGACTGATGCCCACCACTTACATACAGCAAATGAATCATGCGGGCAATGGAGTTGTAGATGCTTTGTATTTTTGGATTGCCTGGGCCCTTCAGTTGAGGATATAGCTGTAGCACTTGAGAAAACAAATAGTGATACCAGAAGTCTTCATTTCTCATTTCTGTTAACAGYTATCTATGGTCCGTGCTATTCTGTGAATTTGTATTCCCTGGACATGGCCTAACTTCTTAGGTTACACATACAATTCATGGCCAAATAAATTCCTACTTATATATAACATACCACACAATAGACAGTATTTTCCACCTATGTTTCTCTCCACCTACCATCAGAAAGCATGGGGAGATGATGCTTCTTGACCACCAGCCCATRGACAATATCTGTGAGGCTTCTCTAGCTTCCTCCAGGCTCACTTCTGCTCCATGTGTGTGACTRGGGATGAGGAGTTGATGATGGCTAGAGGACCCCACTGGGGTGAGGAAACATCACTGTGGTGTTTGGGCTCATCTTCTTCCCCTCATGATCCTCACTGCACCTGGATTCTCACCAGCCTGAGTTATTAAGTCCTCCAGTCTCCACTTGGTGTCCTAAAGGGCTCTAGATCTGATACTACATCTAATACTAGAGATTAAAGCCATCATGTAAGTKCCGTTTGATATGACAAGGTCTCTGCCTGCTTATGGCCCTACCTGGGCCCTGCAGGTTGACAATCCAAGGGTGTCTCCTCTTCCTAATGTCTCTATGTCAACCTGCCCTAAGCATGAAACATGAATAGTGAGGGCAAGTTCGATCTCTTCAGACTCAAATGTCCTTCTAAAGGCCATTGGTAAGAGCACAGTTTTCATGGCAGCTGTCTAAGCACAGTCTTTCAAGGAAGGGATACTGCATTTCTGAGGTAGCATAAATACCTGGGGTTTTGCTATCACTAAGGCCTTGCATTTCATTGGAAATGGAAGAGGCTTCCATGGTGGAATCTGGAAACATGGATGTTTTAATGAACTACTACACTATTTTTTTATTTTCTTATTTTTTTTTTTACTAACTTTCTGTAAAATGGATTATTCCTTCAAAAAGGTTGTGTAGGTCCCAATTTAAAAAAAAAATGAAAAAAGAACTTCCATTCATTTCCATATGGTGATAAGTTAATATATTTCATTCCCCTCTTCTATGGCCAAACCATGCTCTTATTGTTTTTAATCAAAAAAAAAAAAAAAAAAACAAAAAGAAAACTTTGATTCATAATTTAATCTACAGCCTTAATTGACTTCGGATAGCTCTTTTATATGCAAACAAGTGTCCTGAGGCGTTTTACAGTCAAATCCGTGGCAGCTTGCATTATCAACAATTTGGCAATTAGGCTATTGGAATTATTTAAACTCTCCAACACAATTACCTTTTAAAGGCTACCACTATGTTCACCATTAAGTTTCTAATTAAACATTTTACGTAACGGGATAGTTTATAGCACAGTTGCTACTTTACAGCGGCGTTGATGGCTTTAATGGCTTTTAAAGGTGCAGAAAGCAGCGCGCCAGAGCGTGAAGTTAATCAGGCGCAGGCTGGCGGGGAAGGCAGCCTYCTTGCATGGGCTGGGGTAATGGGACACGAATGCGGCGGTGGATGGCTGGCTCCTGCTGCGGGAAGAAGTGCACAAGAGGTGGACGAGAAGGCAGCTCTGTCCTTCRGTGCTGCCACTCAGCACATGGTGGGAGCCTTATGGTGCCCCCAAAGACCTTACAGTTCCCAATGTGAACGAAAAAGTTTGGGCAAATCTACCCTCCTCCTCCACCGCATCCTTGCAGCGGTGGATTTCCAAGGTTGGGAGCAGCTCCTGATGGAATTGCTCGACCTATATGGCCCTTCATGCTCTCCAAGACAAGGAGGAGCTCTTGTAGGGTTTTTTTTTTTTCTTGTTTCTATAGCAAAATGTGCTTTGTCACTGTATTGATCCAATGCCCATCACACTTGGCTGGAACATCTCTACTTAGAGAGGTAAATTCCTCGCTCATAGAGTAAAATGTTCTTGTTGAAAGCAACATATCTTTTTCTGGCAGAAGAAAGGTTTCGCTGATTGGAAAGAAATGCTACTTGTTCAGGAAATGCTGCTGTGTGCTCTAGGTGTCCCTGCTGGAACAGGGGGGGTTGGATTAGATGATCTCTAGAGGTCCCTTCCAACCTTAATGACTGTGATTCTGTGAAATGCTAAAGTTGTCTCTTCAGGAATGGTGCATCTGGCACCCCAGTCTTTTCTGTGTTTTGCAGTCCTCTACTCTTTGAAAAGAGGTAAAAGTACATCAATAGTGAAGGTCATAGCGTACCTGCACCACCACCGATGCTTAGAATATTGATTGTAGATTTCCCATTTCCGATACTGCAAAATATTATTTATAAATTTTAGGACAGGGTTACATTGAACAAAGCAGCAGAGATCCTACGGAGATTAAGACCAGTAGGACAAAAATCAAATGCCACATGTATATATGGATGTAGGTCTATGCCTATGAGCCAGGAGCAGATGCAGAATGTGGTTTTTTGGAGGTTTTGAATCCCAGGCTTGGTTTGGGTGGCTCACCAAGGAGATCAGCTTCACTGATCTCCTCGATGCATGGATCTCCATGTGCACAGATACAGAGGTGCTTTGTTGTGTGAATTGCTGCATTTGACCTGGTTTAAACTTTAAACCACGGGCAATTGCTAGTGCCTATAGCCAAGATGATGGCAGCGAGCAAAGTGCAGCACGGAAGGCACCTTGGCACGGTCAGGAGGAAAACAAGCACTCAAGCAAAAGACAAGCAGYCACAGCCACAAGCTGCCACAAGGGAAATCCCACTGGATTTAAGGAAAATATTCTTCACCAWGAGGGCAGCCAAGCCCTTGCACAGGAGCCCCGTGGGGCTGCAGCCTCTCCCATGCTGCACCCAACCATGCACAGCAGCCTGGAGATGTTCAGCACCCAACCACGCACAGCAGCCTGGCCCCTCATTTGCCTCCAAAGCTTTGCCAGGAAAGTTGCTGTTGTCTCCACTGTGCCCCTGGTGCCCACTGTCCTCCCCACCTACCAAGCCAAGCTGGGCTTTCCTGGGCTGTTACCTGGAGATGAGGCCAGGCAGCTGCTTCTCGACGAAGTCCCGCACACACTGGTGCTCCGTGGAGCTCTTGAGGAAGACGCGGAAGGACTTGACGTATCTGCTGTGGTCGGCAATAAGGCTCCTCATGGTGGGCGCCGCAGGGGGATGGCGGGAGGAGAGGGCTGCTCCTTCTTGCCACTGCCAGCCCTAGCAAGGAAATAGCAAGCAACAGGCGGAGAAGGGTTAAAGGTTTCAAGCATCTCATAGATGACGTGCCCGCAAGAAAGTGTTGCACAACTCCTGAGAGACGCCAACGGCGCGGCCGGAGCCGCAAACTGCAGCACGTCACCCTTGTAGCTGTGATAACTGTGAGGGCTCAGGGCTCTGCCCGAGTGCAGGAAAGGTTCCTGAGATGGGCCTTAAGCAGAAGGAAGTCTCCCCAGCCTCCCAAAAGCATGGGGAGCCTTGGAGGACGTGGTCTGCAGGAGAAGGCAGTGCAGTGCTCCCCTCCAGCAACGCGCCTGGTGTCACCCCTGTGTTCAGCCTTCTCATGTTCCTAAAGGGGATTSTGACAGCAGGGTGAAAACAGCAAAACCCTTACAAATGCACTCTTTATTTTGCCTTTTTTTTTTTTTCCTGATGATAATAGTGTGAATCCCTCAGGCAAAGTTGTTAATTCACAAAGCCACACAAATGACTGGCGCTGGTRTAGTTTTAAGCCTGGTTTACACTTAGGGAAATGAGAGTAGGAGAGGCCACACGTGACAGGGAACTATCAGCCAATTTTCATCAGGAAGAGCTGCTTTGGCAGACCAGGCACAGCCACAAACATTCACTGTCTGTTTGAGTCAATTTTTGGTAGAAAAAAGGAAAATTCTTCTTAGCAAGTACACAGCCCATGACACAGGGCAGAGGTACTGGGGAAAGGAGATCCTCTAATCTTTCCTGATCCTTTGAATTACACTTCTGTCCTCCAGAGCCCTTCCAATCCCACCCAACCTGCTGCCACTTAATAGTAACAGCTAATTCCAGTCCACAAATCATGAGTGGGGACACAAAATAGCAGTAGGCTCAACTTTGCAAGTGCTTTTCCACCTCTACACCAGTGTTTGCATCAAGGTCACATCTTCCTTCCTGGTTTAGGACAATGCTGTAAGTGACCATGCACACATGAACATGCATATCCTGTCCCCAAGTGCTCCTTGGCCTTCTTGGCTGGAGCACATCCACTTTCTCATAGCCACTAAATGAATCCAAATTCACGTGGAGAAGGCTGGAGAAATTGGCCAGCAAAGGAGGGACGTCCTGGTTGCTGCCCAGCACGGGCAGCGCGCRGCTGCTTTAGCAACCTGGCTTCGTTAGATAAGAGTGGCAATGTCACCTGCACCCTAGCAAGGTGGACTGACTAATTGCAGCTAAAGCAACTGTATTACATGAATGATCATTGCAGTACCTGCTTTTGAGCACCCACAGAAATTTGCAGCTTATATGCACAGAAAAAWAWATATATATATWTTATATATATATATGATTAGAGCTGGGCACTGCCAAGGCTGTATGAGTTACACACAGCTCTTTCATTTGGAAAAGCTAGTGCTATACTACACGTTGACCCGCTCCTCTGCTCCTGCAGCACGTTGCTCTGCACGTGGATAAGGAGGCTTTGTCACTTGCTGTTAAAATATTTTACCACCTTTGGTCTTTAAAAAACATTTTAAGGTTAATATGAGGAGATTTAGCTAATCGAGCTTTTTATGTAACTTCTTCCACTTCCTGTGATTTAATCTGCCTGTGYGCAGCACTCAGCTTTCTCTAATAGGAACAGCTGAAATTCATTTTCATGTTAGGCGCAGTTCAAGGAATCTGACTCATTTATTTCATTATGTTTTTGGCTGTTCAAATTTGTCTCATTTATTTCATTTTGCTGCTTGAACTGYGGCCAGTTAACTCTGAAGCAAGTAAAAAGAAGGAGGAAAAAAGTATTTCACGACTCAGGAGAGTACATTTCCTGGCAGTGAAAACTTTGGGATAAATAAGCTTGGCCTGAGCACCCTCCCTGCTGTGCTAGTCCGAAGTATCATGCACTCAGGAAAGAGCAGAATTGGTGCTTTCAGAGCCCAGTTCTCTGCTTACACAACGGTTGCTTGAGCCATCCCTGGTTTACATGTTATCCGACTTAAACCTGGTTTAAATGAACTGCAAACTTATTTAAAACGAGCTCCTAAGCAAGAAGGAGCRTGAGTGCCTGCTGCAGAGCCTCCCTTCCCAGGGACCTTCCCAATCTCCCGCAGTGAAGCCGCTCCGTACTGTACTCACGTGGTGAGCCCGAGCCCGGCCAGACGCTCCCTGCGCTGCCCACGTCCGTGCGCTCCTCTCCATCCCGATCCCACCCCCGGCCGTGGAAGCTGGGACGTGCAAGCGCTTAACCCTTGCTGGGGACACCCTTGCCAGGGACACCCTCGCTGAGGACACCCTTGCGGCATCCTGCACCCGGCTGCACCGGCAGGCTCTGCAGGAGCAATGGAATTGCGAGCTGCGGAGCGCCTTCGGAGTGCGGATCCGCGCCGCAGCACTGCGGGTTTATTTGGCTTATCCAGGGCTGGGTTTGCTCTCCTCCTGCCAGAACAATACGGGCCGAAAGGAGACGTTGCTTAACGTTGGAGGAGATATTTCTGCTGTCTTCTCATAACGCACGCTTATGTAAGCCGGGTCCGATAACAAGATTGCTGCGTGCACTAAGGTGGCAGGAAAAAAAAAGAAAAAGAAAGAATAAAAATCTCATTTTAGAGCACAACAGAAGTGTCAGCGCCAAGGAGCAGACAGGTTATTGCTTGCGCTCCTCCGAGGCTGCTTTTATTAAAATGGAAATTTCCAAGGCTGGTTGCGCAGCTGCGACGGGGCGGCCGGACAGGCCCCGCTCGAGGGTCCTGCTGCGCCACGCTCCCAAGGGGCACACAGGGCTGGAACTGCACTTTGGGGCTGCAGGAAACTGCAGCCATTGCTAGCGAGGGCTTTTCCCAAGGGACCAGGGGAGGGAATCTGCAGTGTTTTTCCTCTCAGGAAAGTTTCAGCACTGCTCTTCCTGCAGACACTGCTCAAAGATGAATGAACTTGTCAAGGAGGAGCTTGCAAATTACAGCTCCTGTTAGCTCCAAATTGAGTGGAACTTAATAAAAACAATGGAAAAGAAAATAAAAAAGCACTATCTCCGAAAAGCTCTGCTACATTTTCACTTGAGCAATGTCTGAGAGCTCTGGGATGATCCAGATACCTAGCGCTGGTAAGCATTAGCAGCATTTTTGTGCTGGTATTTCACTGTGAAATCTCACATTTGCAAGCTCTTTTACGGCACTAAGCGGTGAGCTCAGCTCTGAAACTAACATGTTTACATTGTGGTGTAAAATGTAGTAAAAAGTCAAGTGTGGTCTTTCCAAAAACCAGGTTGCAATGTGGTGAGAACTAACCGAATCTGCGCATCCCGGGGACGGGGCTGGTGTGGCCGCAGTGACCCTGTCACCTCCTGGCATCGCTGCTCACCTCCCTCCTCCTCCTCCTCTTTCCAGTGACGGGCTCCAGTGGGGCTGTTCAATAAAAAGCCATGAGCTGGTTGTGCTGCCAAAACCGTGTCCTGGTGGCAAGGTGCCCTGCGGCTGAGCTCAGACGCGCAGCTGTTTTGTGCAGCATGGTCCTCCGTGCAGAAGGTTTCGATATTTCCTGTTTTCTTTTTCCTTCCACTTTTGACCTGTTTTCAGGCCTGAAAGAAGAGAAACTGAAGAGCGACAGCACGGCCAGACTTCTGCTTCCATCCGTGCTCCAGGTTGGAGGGAGGTCTCGGCCTGCAGGGCTCCCCGGGAGAAGTCCCTGCTCATCTGAGCATCCTTCCCTTGCAGGTGGCACCATTAGATGCCAGCCCTGGCTCTCTGTTGCCAGCTCTATTTTCCTTGGTGAGGAAAGGTTTCAAACACTGCGGGTGATTAAGTAAGATTGAGTGCAACAGTTAAGATAAATGCCATGAGGCTGAAATGGGTTGGCTTCCTGGCTGTGAGCTGAGCAGGCAGCCTCACTAGATGCCATCTTCTGTCCCAGGATGCTAAACCTCTCTTATGACATATGGATCATGTGAGATAGTGTATATATATATAGACTGCCACAGGAACTTAATGTCCAAATCAGCAAGGGTGCCCCAGGCTGTAGAGATACCAGTGGGAGAAGTGTTCCTGTGTCTGGTACTGCCAAAGCTGCTGCCCAGCCTCAGCATCCCATAAATGAAATAATTTTAAAACATTTACAAAAAACAAAAGGATATTTTTTTCCAGATCAGCTATATTTCAGCCCAACAGAAGCCTTAGACATATCTGAAATATTCTCAATTCAAGGTTTTATGGTAATCTTAATGCCCTCCTGCCCTCCTATTGCTACCCCTTGGAAAGAGAAAGAATCTTGTCCGGTGCATGAGCAATACGTCTGGGAAGCAACTCACATATCTTGGATACCTGTTGCCTTTCCCAGCCCGTGTGGTTGTGCAGAGCTGGATCCGGGCCCTCGGGCTCATTTCCAACCCCGCCTACCCACTTTTGGCTAAAGCCCCTTTGTCAGTGCAGGGATGTGCAACCCTTCAGCACCCTCCAGACACAAATACACCATTGACCTCCCTTGCCAATGTTTTCCAACTGGCATTTCTTCCTGGCACTTCATTTAAGAATTTTGGTTTCAGATTACAAATAGAGATACTCTGTAAAATTTACTTATTTTAGTGGGGAACTGAGCACTGATTGCCTTCAGTAATCCCAAGCAGGAAATTTTGATCACCCCACAATGGGATCTTCACAAATCATTGTTGACTCTAGTTCAAAAAAATAAAGAAAAGAGAAAAAAAAAATTGCTTCCACTAAGAAAGTTGCCTGATTTGCAATGACTTTAGTTAGTTCCTATCTGTCCCCTCCATGTGGGCTGAGCAGTTTCCACACGAGACAACTTCTTCCAAGCCTTGTATCCCCCTGCCAGAGCCTGGCACATGAGTCTGGGCCTGCTCAAGCCTCTCCTTTGTGTGCACTCGATATTGCAAGTTATTTCAACTCGCAGCTATTTCCCTGAATAAATAAGTGGAGGAGCAGTTACTCGAAAGGTATCACAGTTTTATTAGAAATCTGCACTGAGGGCTTGTTATGTTGATTCCTATTCCCCTCTCATTCTCCCAGAGACAAAGGCTCCTGAGTTTCTTTATATACATGTATTCACTCTTTTATTGAGCAGGAATCCTCTTTGCAATCTCTGCTCTTAMGCAGCACTCCCCTGTGGATCATAGTCATCGTGTTCTGCTCATTTTTGATTTTTGTCTCCATTCTGATAAGAAAAAAAAAGAAGTGAAGTCAATGGGGACAGAGGAAAAATTGAGTAAGGGGCTTCCCAGCCTCAGGTACCAAAACTTCCCACCTCTGATGACCCAGCTTGTAGGGCACAGTCAACTTCTCCTTCCCTACAGACTGATTTTTATCCAGGGTAAAATTMATGATATTTCAGTCAACTCAATTATACCTGTCCTTGCAATATGGTAATAAAAAGGCACATTCTTCAGTGGAAATGCAGTTCTGGTTCTTCTGGCCTCTCTGAGTTCTGGAGGGAAGAGCTTTCAGGAACAGCTTTCCAATTAGGGAAGACCCCAGAAGTTGTGCAAGGATAGATATGGTARATAAAAATAGAAGCAAAACCAGAACTCCAAAGTGTAGTAGTTACAGATAGCTGAGAAATACTGTGTCTTGCTGTTATTAATGGATTTCACTAGCTATGTGATTCACAGTCTGACAGAGGCCTGTCTCCTGCTTCCCTGCACACAAATGCAACGTTGTCCATCTCTGCACTTTCAGAGGCAAATGTTGGCACACCTGTAGGTGACTAACTATTCATGGATACAAGCAAAATCATCAAGGCAAATGGGGATTTTTTAAATTACTATTTTAACTGGCAAACAAGGTGTCCTGATCTGACATTCAGCAATGTCTCACACAGACTCAGATAAGATCTCCACAGAGGACATTACTTCTTTGAGGTCTAGACTGGCACACACAACTAAACCGATATTAACCTATCAGTTAATAAGTTAAAGCAGAGCATGGACRGTAAACAACTCTGATTCCCAGCATCTACAGAGAAATAAATGGCATTTTCTCCATCATATTACAAGTTAGAACTTGACAGGAAGAACTGGTACATCCATCATCAGTGGATGCTTCAGCTTCTTCTGTGCTCCTTCCCCACTCTATCCTTCAAAATGCAAGTTCTCATAGATCCAGGGACATGTTGGTGTCCCTGGTAAAATGTAGGTAGCAGGTTTTACAATAATGCATCTGATGCAGCTAAGCACAAATTTTATCCCTCCCCTATCTAAATTTTCCACATAAAGCAGAGGCACAGAGCACTGTAGGCAAGAGAGTGCAAATGAATATGGCTAGTACAGAAAAGAAAATAGTAGGGAAAATTTGAGGGAATTGTTTTATAAAAAGGAGCAGACCAGAACACAATTGCAGCCTTGCCCCACAAGCTGCAGTGCCTGGGACTAGGCTTGAACGGGTTAACATTGAGTACAACCTCAAAATTCCCCRGAGCCAGCTGAAATCCCATCAGCACCCCACACTGCTAACGGGCAGGGAGCAACTAAGGCAAAAAGAGGAGACTGCCAAGTTGGAAACTGGGAGGGTAGGACAGGAAAAACAACTCAGACATTTGTCCCGTCAGTTCGGACTTTGGCCAGCCCTTCGCCTTTCATGTGCTTTCTGTTGCCATTGCTTCTTAGCAATTAGGAGAAAAGCCACATTTGCAGCACAAACAGTGGGGTGAAACACTAAGTCAGACAGAAAACAACAGCGGCAGTTGGCAGCTTGGGAAGGTTTGACTCCTCACCGGGTTGCAGACCTTCTAAAGCTGGCCCTGGCCGCCACGCCAGGAGCAGATGGCCCCACGGGTGCAAGGTCCACGCTGACCGCGTGCCCAGAGACCTGGCTGCACCACCAGCTCCCTATTCCCAACTGATCCCTTGGAAACTGCTGTGCTCTCCTTCCCCTCTCCTTGCTCTACTTCTCACCTCAGCTCTGAGTCCGTTTTCACAAGGGGAGGCAGAGGGTCCTGAGCTGCAAAGGGCATCTTGATAGTTCACATGGACCTTCAGCAGGTCTTGAATACCCAATTGTCCTCCAGGTGCTCTGATATTACCGCACTTATGATGAAGTTAAATTGCTCTCAACCTACATTTATTTTAGAGCCATCCCTATTTGCAGGAGGAACTTTCACAGAGCTCCACCAGGTCCAGGTGTGGGATTATTCTGTTAAGTTACAAGACTCATCCTTACACACTGCACCTAAACTCAGAGCAAGCAAACCCGAGG